TTTGCATTTTTTTTAATGGAAAGCTATCAAGTCTTCTTGACATTTTCTTTTAAGTTATGTATGCTTATGTTGTTTTGGCATTTTCTCTTGTGAGTCACTTACTAATTCACTAGATGCACAGATTTAACATGCCCGGCTCTGTTAAAGGCACGGGGATACAGCAGTCGGTAAAATGGATCCAAGTCCCTGCCCTGTGGCTCACACATCTTAAGGGCAAGTGGAGAAAAAGGGATCTACAAGTCGTGTAGGTCCTGCATCAGCTGGGAACAGAGCTCAAAGTGGTAGCATCCATGTCAGACAGAGGTGGCACCTTCACAGACCGTGGCCAAAGAAGGTGCCCCTTGCATAAACATCTGAAGAGTTGAACGAAAAAGCCATGTGGATTTTTAGGGTCCGGGCCTTCCAAGCAGAGATAGCAAAAAGGCAGGTTCCAATAGGGCTCATGGCTGGAATGTTCCAGAAAGAGCAAGGAAGCCAGTATGGCTGGAGCCAAGGCAACAAGGAGGAGGCTCGCAATGGGAAAGGAGGTCAGAGACAAAACATGGCCATGTCACACAGAGCCCCGGGTCAGGGTGAGGACGGTGACTTTCACTCTTGATGAGGCAGGCAGCCAATCGAGGGAGCCAACAAAAGACAGATGTGGCCTACCTTATGAGGTGCTTGTTTTTGGTTTCATTTAAACTGTTTCTTTAATAAACTCGTGAAAATTTGTTTATCCAACCCGCCAGGCACACAGCTAAGAATATCTACCTCACTGTGATTATGAATAATGGTGATTATGTGAGAAACACGAGGACTTCACAGCACAGAGGTGCACTGCCCAGAACTAACCATCCGGAGCTGTCCAAGTCTTCCGGCAGTTTGTGATGGCAACATCATGAGCTCGCTGTGACAAACAGCCCTGCTGGAACGCAACGTTGTACTTGCGCTTCAGGGGGACCCAGTCTGGTGCTACCCTAAGAGACTGAAGTGAAGTAAGGATAGACACGGAGACAGTAGTCAGGAGGCCATTTCAATAATCCAGGTGAGCTGTGTTGGTGCCCTGGGCCCCGCATTTGGCCCTCTATCTGTTTTTGCAAATAAAGTTTTATTGAAACACAGCCATGCTCATTATATACTGTCTACGGCTGCTTTTGTGCTACGGGGGCTGAAACAAATAGTTGTTGACGGAGACTGTACGGCCTGCAAAACCAGAAATATTTACTACCCGGCCCTTTACAGAACATTTACTGACCCCTGATCTAGAAGATGAGATCAAAAGAAGAGGTACTGTTGTAGGCTTAAGCAACTAGAAAGAAATGAGGTGCCATTTATTGAGATGGGATTCTAGGAGATCAGATGAGAGAAAATACCAGACGCTCAATTTCAGACGGGGTAACTGTGAGATGCTTCTCAGACGATATAGGAGTCTGAGGCTCAGGGAACAGTTCTGGGCTGGAGAAATCAACCTTGGAACCAGCAGCATAGAGACAGTAATTAAAGCTGGGAAAGCAGATAAAATCAGTAAGGGAATTAACACAGATGGAGGGGGCAACAGCGTGAAATACTGAGCCCTAGACCCCTGACACTTACACGTCAGAGAAATGAAACAGAACCATAACGAGCAGCAAGAAGAAACAGAGACAGGATGAAAGCCATGAGAATGCAGAGCTCTGGAAGCCAAGAGAAGAAAGTATTTCAAGAAGAGGGCCAAAGCCCCATCCACTGAGGCTGAGACGATGACTCAGAGCAGACCGCAGGAGGCCTCACTCGGCTGGATTCGAATCAGCAGTGGGTGCAAGGACAGACAAGGACAGACGAAGGAGAGAGAGGCTAGACAAGTCGCACTGGAAGTTCTGTTGTGATGCAGAGCCAGTGGGGTGGAAGCTGGCAGGGGAAATGAGATCGGAAGAGTTCCTTTTTATGTATTCCCATGACGGGAGAAGGAACAGCATGTATAATGACTGCTAAAAAAAAATAAAAAAGTTTTCCACTTGAGGTAGAAAACCTGACGAAGCAGGAAAGATGGGAAGTGCTGGGGCAATGGCTCTGAGTAGGACAGAGGAGGTGGAATCTGGGGACAGAATTCAGTAAGTGGGGGACAGTTCAAGCTTAACAAGAACTTAACTTAACAAGAACTGGCCACTCATACAGGCAGGTAGGAGGATGCGACGATGGGGATCTTACGGAGATTCTCGTTCACCTGTGTCTGTTTTCTCAGGTGCCCTGAGCCCAGAGCTGCACGGAGAACGAGGTGCTGCCCACCAAAGGAGGGCAGACCTGGGAGAGGGAGAGTAAACCGGAAATACGTTCGAACTCCCTGTGAGAGTGCGTGACCACAAATCTGAAATGAGACAAACAGCACGGTTCTGGATTTTTCTCTAGTCTTGTTCCACGGCATGAAACAGCAAGAAGCCAGGAAATAGGATCTGAAACCAGAAGCACAGACCTGGGCTCCTGGCTGGCTCAGTCAGTAGAGCATGGAACTCTTGATCTCAGGGTTGTGAGTTCAAGCCCCACATTGGGTGCAGAGTTTGATTAAAAATAATATCTTTACAGGCACTTGGGCTCCTCAGTCAGTTAAGCATCTGACTCTTGATTTTAGCTCAGGTCATGGTCTCAAGGTCGTGAGGTGGAGCCCTGCATTGGGCTCTGCACTCAACAAGGAATCTACTTGGGATTCTCTCTCTCTCTCCCTCTGCCCCTCCCTCTGCCTATGTATGCACCTGCAGTCTCTCTCTCAAATAAATAAATAAATCTTAAAATAAATAAATGGATGAATTAATGAATAAAATCTTTATAGAGGAAACCAAACAACTAGGAGCATGGTTTAACCAAGGAAATAAGACAAAACGAGAGGGAGGCAAGAGAGAGGAGTGACAATGAGTGACCGTGGAATTTAAATGGGGCAAGGAGGGAAGTGGGGACCCCAGGGGAGAAGAAGTGAAGAAAGTGGCATAGAGGGAGGAGCCAAAAAGCTAAAGGTGGGGCTCAGGAAGTCACTGAGATGGAAGGTCTAGAGCACGACCGTGGCCGTAAGTGGCTGTTGTCAGATGGAAGACAATGTCACTAAGGGAAAGCAGTGCAAAAAAGTGAGAGGGCAGAGTGCTGGAAGGTCATCCACATGGCTACTAAAGTCACCATGAATCACGATACAGGCAGTGCTGAGGAGAGAGTGGACCACACAAGGCAGGGAGAGTGGGGTCAGGGGACAGCTGTGACAAGGACAGGAGTGGGGAACACAGTCTGATGACACAAGGTTCAAATCAATGTGTTCTTAGAGTGGAGGAAGACTGGTCTAGAAGAAACGAGAAAGCAACAGAGAGGAGGGGTATAAATTCAGGAGAGCCCCAAGGGGAAGGACTGTCCACAGAGAAGGAACCTGCCAGGGACTGACCGTGAGCATTTCAGAGCTGGAGGTGGGGGAAGAGAGGTGTATATAGCAAGCCATACAGAAAGGAGAGACCGAGAAGTAAGGGATGAGGACCTGGGAGTCTCGGTGGCTGACAAGCAGGACAGGGCACAGGCCGTGATGATTCCTGGTAGTCCCAAAGGGGCATGGTGCTGTGAGCAGATGCAGTGGGCAAGACGCACACGAGCTCGGGTCTCCGGTCTGCCCACCACTGAGGCGGTGCGATCTAGGCCCCTCCCCACCCCACTAGCTCTCCCCCAACAATCTCCAGCATTCCAGGTGGGACCTGGCCATGGTGAGACAAACGACACTGTTGGAAGCACTGTTTCTAAGGAAAAGGTAAAAACCCAACCGGAATCCCGAACCCATCCCCTACCAGAAGACCATCGCAGCTTCTCAGAGGTGTACAGGAAGACCCCTCGGGCAAAGGCATTTTTTAATTACTAACTGATGATGTGGCCTAAGCATCTCTCACTTTTCCAATCAACAGAAGGATGGATAAGCATTTATATTTACATGGCGGAGCGGTCCACAGCGGCGCCTCGCAAGAGCTATGGCAACAGAAACTCGGCAAATGCTTTTAAGTGACGAGTTACCCCGTTCAGAAAGACGGATTATGCGGAAGGCAACGAAGGGAGTGCATGACGTGACTGTGAGAACGAACAATCATATTAAATAATAAATAATAAATAAAATAAAATAATAATAATAATATTATTATTATTTTACAATATAAAATAAAATAAAATAATAAAACAATCATATTAACAATCATCATTATTCAAAGACATGGTGATGAATGCACATCTGAACGCACCTGCTTTTTCAAAATTAGAATCCCAATTATAATACTCATTATAATGGTAATAATTCTTAGGCTCAGTAGAAAAGTTCACTTGATAAAAGACAGATATTTTCAAATATACAGCATGCATCAATATCACTGTTTTCCAACAAAGGCAGTCGTGGATATCAACTGTGAGCCCATTAATTATAAAGAAAGAAGTTTTCACATTAATCAACTGTCAATGAGATAGCTCTAAAACATCCCGTCATGTAAACTTTTATACTCTGAAAGTTCAGAGAAAGACTTATAAGACAATGTAAAATGGAGCCAAAGTAATGAAATGTAAAATGAAGTAAAATGAAGACAAAGTAAATAAGAAGGAAATTCATATTTCGAGGTTTGTTATTTTGGCTGTTATTCTAATCTTGCATTTTCAGATGATTTTATCATAAAAGAAAAGCACCAACCAAACTCATAAAATCAGCTGAGCCAAATTAAGCCTTAATGGCTTTGCCATCAGAGATGAAGACCCGAGCCGCCTGTATGAAACAAACGACGAAAGTTATGGAAAGGAAAACAATTAGTTTTAACAGATGACCATCAAAATGAACAGAGATGAACAAAACACGATATAATGATCTTAATCGTTTAAACTACTCCTTGCAGAATTTTTGTTTTGTTTTGTTTTTTGCTTGCAGGATATTAAAAAGTTGCTGTCCTTAATTCATTTCACCCTGCTGTGAAAATGTCACCATCGCAAGCTTCCTAGAAAGCTATGACGGAGATTATAAACGTGGCCCACTGTAAGAGAGTAAGGCTTACCTGATGCACCTATTGGGGAGGTAGCTGGGGTCATGTTGTGGACACTGAGACCAAGGCTCTGGGAGGGGCCTGGGGCTGATGCTGCTATGGGAGGCCCCAGAGGGTTCTCCCTCTGGGGCGAGGTGAGCGGGGTGGTCGGCTGGGAGGTCTGTCCACCAGCAAGTCGTGCAAGGCGCCTCCGTCGGATCTACAAGAGGGGAGAAAAGACATTCTGTAACTCAACCGTAGAAACGTAATTCTGCCCAAGAACAACATGAAGGCTGTCAGTAAGCATCGAAAACCACACTGGCGCTTAACAGCCAAACAGGTCTTGAGAAAAAAGGGCTCATTCAAAACAAGTAATAACTTGGCATACCAGTACCTTCACGGACTACCACCTCGCTTTTTAAAAACTGCATCTCATTGCCTTATGATCCCCATTTATCACACTTTCTTAAGTGATAGCGTGAATTTGCCACAAGCATACTACACTTTTAAACACACCGAAGCTTATTATTTAAATAAAACCATGTAACTTGGTTATTTCAAAATAGGTCAGTTGTTTTGGGGGAGGTTTTCTGGGTTTGTTTTTGTTTTGTTTTTTGTTTTTTAAGAGAGGGAGAGAGAGAGAGAGAAGCGGGAGAAGGAAAGGGCAAAGGGAGAAGGAGACAGAATTCCAAAAAAGCGCCACACCAATGCAGAGGCCAATGCAGAGGCCAATGCAGGGCTTGATTTCATGGCCCATGAGATCATGACCTGAGCAGAAGTCAAGAGTCAGATACTCAACCGACTGAGCCACCCAGGCTCCCCTAAACAGGTGAGATTTTAAATAAATACCCAATTTATTTATTATTATTATTTTTGAGAGAGAGACACAGTGACAGAGGGAACAGAAGCAGGGGAACCGGGAGAGGAAGAAGCAGGCTTCCCGCGGAGCAGGGAGCCTGATGCGGGGCTCAATCCCAGGACTCTGGAATCAGGCCCTGATCTGAAGGCAGACACTTTAATGACTGAACCACCCAGGCGCCTCATAAATACCCAATTTAATTTACTAAAGCAAAAGTAACAAACATTACACTAAGACAGAAATTTTGTCCTCACTTTCAGGAGCAAAACAATTCAATTTTTCTTACTTAATTGCAATAAAAATATAATCTGCTACTTCTTCCCTATAGTAATACCCCAGAGTTATCCAGTGATTAAAATATTTGCCACAAAATCCCAGTGGGTTCCGAAAATGCTTCCCTCACATTTTGATAATCATTAATTTACAACCAGGCAATAAACTCTCACTGACCACCTGCTGTCCCATGCAGTGAGGACATCTAACTACTGTGATAAGCTTCTGGCTCTACGCAGCCATCCAAGAAGCAAACCAACTAGGCTGCTACACTCATTTCATCACTAAAAAGGAAGATGAAAAAGTCATCCTACGACAGTGCTGACCGGGATGGACCGCATCTGAACTAAGCATCTGTCATCCTGACATTGCAGACAACCTGTTCCTTCTGTTGTTCAGACAACCAAGGACATCCTGATTCCTTTTTTTTTTTTTTAAGATTTTATTTATTTATTTGACAGAGATCACAAATAGGCAGAGAGGCAGGCAGAGAGAGAGGGGGAAACAGGCTCCCTGCTGAGCGGACAGCCCGATGCAGGGCTCGATCCCAGGACCCTGAGATCATGACCTGAGCCGAAGGTAGAGGCTTAACCCGCTGAGCCACTCAGGCACCCCAGACATTCTGATTCTTGACCCCAAAGTTGAGGAGCCCATTCCTATGTCCCAGCTGCAAATACACCTATCAACGAACTTCCACAAAATCCTGAAGTTGTCTGGTTGTTCATCTACTTCATTATATTAAATCCCTTGAAGGAAAGATTGGGTCTTACTGATTAAAAATAAACATTGAGAGACGCCCGGATGGCTCCGTTGGTTAGGCATGCGACTTGATCTCAGAGTTGGGAGTTCAAGCCCCATGCTGGGGGAAGAGATTACAAATCAAAAAAATAAATAAAAAATCGGGGTGCCTGGGTGGCTCAGTGGGTTAAGCCTCTGCCTTTGGCTCAGGTCATGATCTCAGGGTCCTGGGATCGAGCCCCGCATCGGGCTCTCTGCTCAGTGGGGAGCCTGCTTCCCCCTCTTTCTCTGCCTACCTCTCTGCCTACTTGTGACCTCTCTGTCAAATAAATAAATAAAATCTTTAAGAAAAATTAATAAAAAATAAACTGAAAAAATAAAATTAAAATAAACACTGACATAGCACTTTGTCTTCTGGCAATGTTCTCAACACTTTATAAAGCCAAACTCATTTAATCCTTATAATGAGCTTTTGTGTACACTTATGCCTATTTTACATCTGGGCAAACTGAGGCACAGAGGTTACATCCTTGCTTAATTAGTAAGCGGCAGAGCTGGAACGTGAGCCCACACCATCTGGCTGCACAGCCTGTGCCCTCACCACTACTCCAATAGTCTGGGGATTTCTGGGGATCTCTGAGACCCTTACAAGAGGGCATGCTGAGGCCAAAGCTATTTTTACAATATCACTAAGACATCTGCCTCTTTTGCTCTCATTCTCAATGGTCCAGTGGAGTTTTCCAGAGACCATGTAACATGTCATGTTGCAACAACTTAAATACGGAATTTAATATGAGAATTCAGCTGTATTCTAGTAAATCGGACATTTAAAAGACTTGCAGAAGTGAGGATAACATCAACTTTTCTCACTAAATATGTTTGTTTGGGGGTGCCTGGGTGGCTCAGTTGGCTAAGTGACTGGCTTCAGCTCAGGTGATGATACTGAAGTCCCCAGACCGAGTCCCGCATTGGGCTCCCAGCTGCACAGGAAGTCTGATTTTCCCTCTGACCTTCTCCCCTCTCATGCTCTCGCTCTCTCAAATAAATAAATAAAATCATTTAAAAAAATATGCTTGTTTTGGAAAATGTGGTCTTTTCATTAGAGATACATTATTTACATTAACATACAATGTTTTTATTATTATTTTTTAGGTTTCTCACTTTTTATTTCTATTATGGCAAATTCAATGGATAGAACCCACCTGAACAAAAGCTCCTTGAGATCTTCACCGTTTCCTAAGAATGTAAAGGAGTCCTGAGACCAAATCTCTGAGAATCAGGAGGCCCTCTAGTCTTCATCCTTATCTCCCTGTCAAGCCCCACACCTGCTCTGTTAACAGATGAAAGAAATTCCTGAAGTGTTTCTCTCATGAACACTTACCTGGGGTAGAGGGTGGGGAACATGGCCCAGAAATTTCCGATCCAATTACTCAAGCCACAGACCCAGGATTTGTGTTTACTGCTTCCTCGCTTCCCTTCGTCTCCTCAAACACCCAGTTTGTCACCAAGCTCTGCTCCTTCGACCTTGGTCCACCCTCTACCCTCAGCTCCTCAGCCACCACCCTACCTAGGCCACCACCCTTTCTCACCAGGCCCTCTGCCAAAGGGCACAAGGAATCCGTGTCCGCTCTGGCCTGGTCAAAGCAAAGGCTCCACATTCCTTTCTTTAAAGACTTTCAAAGTTTCAGATTTCGGAAATGAATGCAAATCAAACCACAATGAAGATAATACCTCATACCCATGAAGACGGCTGCCACGGAAAAAAACAGAAAATAACAAGTGTTCGTGAGGACGTGAAGAAACTGGAGCCCTCATGCACCGGTAGTGGGAATGTCAAGTGGTACAGCCACTTTTTAAACAGTTGGGTGGGTCTTTAAAAAATTAAAACGAAAATTACCATAGGAGCCGGTAATTCCACTACTAGGAAGTACCCAAGAAAACTGAAAGCAGGGACTCAAACAGGGAGCTATTCCCCCAGGTTCACAGCAGCGCTATCAGTGAGAGCAACCCCAGTGTCCATCCGCGGGTCAACAAAATGTGGCACACAGGCACAACGAACAGTATTCAGCCTTAAAACGGATGTCCTGACACGTGTGGCAACACAGATGCACCTTGAGGACATGAGGCTAAGTGGGATCGGCTAGTGACAAAAAGGCAAACACGGTATGATTCCACTTACAACGTATCCAGAGTAGCCAAATTCACAGAGACAGAAAGTAAAATAGTGGTTGCCAAGGGCTGGGGAGATTTTCAAAATCTAAGTATAGAATAAAATCCTAAGTGATAAGAAAGCATGTTATCCAACTTTTTCCTACAATCTCTTCTCCACGCAGCCATCACAGTAATTCTTTAAACACACACCACCCTCCCCTGCTCAAACCATTCAAGGCTTCCCACTGCACTTGGAATCAAAACCAAGTCATCACCAGGTCCTGGGGAGCCCCTGGAGGTCTCTCCAGACTCATGGTAAACCACACGAGGTGCCAGCCACACCGGCCCCATCATTAGCCCTCGTTTACCTTCAGCCACTTGCAATTCCTTAAGCCTAGACACAATCTTCTAATTCTTGGTATGGCTGGTTCTTTCTCTTCCTTCCATTCTCAGCTTAAGTATCACCTCCTCTTAGAGGACTTCCCTGATCACTTACTTACCTAGCATGATCCTTCCCTCCACACGCACTGATGCTGTAGCCTTCTGATCACACGCTCCAAGCACTCTGCAAGGTCTATAATTACATTATCTATTTCTTTTGGTTTTTCCAAGATTTACTTATTTGAGAGAGAGGGCGTGCATGCCCATGCACCTGTGGTGGGGGGCAGAGGGAGAGGGACACACAGACTCCATGCTGAGCGTGAAGCCCCATGTGGAGCTTGATCCCATGACCCTGAGATCATGACCTGAACTGAAACCGAGCTGGATGCTTAACAACGGAGCCATCGAGGGGCCCCTGTCATTACATTATCTATTTCTTACTGTCTTGCTTACTATCTGTTTCCTTATTAGAATGGAAGCGCCATGAGAAAAGCACGTCTGTGTTGTTTTCATGGATATATCTCCAGCACTGAGCACAGTGCCAGGCACATAACAGGTCTGTACGTACTGAACAATGGGAAAAAATACATCGAATCAAAACAGACGAAGTATTCAAGCCACACAGAAGGATGTTTAACTGAACCGTCAAAGCTCAGAGTTTCCGACGTCTGACATTGACTCCTCTTCAGACAGCCACTCATTCAACGAATAAAATACTCATCAAGTACAGGAGAATAAACTAAGAGTTTCTGCTCTCGTGGCACTCAGATTTTAGCAGAGGCCAAAAGGACAAGAGCCAAACAGGCAAAAAGAATGCC